TCATTCTTGTGTATCAAAATTTCCTGATTTAAGGAGTGTTATGTAGGAAAGGGAGAGCTGGAAAACTCAAGTCATCCATCTTATTGCAACATATCATAAAAATAATCTGTAGCTGATGCTTTCTTTCCAAGTACTGAGCGTTTGCAGAGCATGTGCACAAAGAGGAAGACGAGTGGAATGAAAGGCCAGCCCCTGCGCTTCCCCAGAGAGGTTGCATGCAGGGCATGGTGTGTGTCCTTTTGGCCTTCAGACCTGTGAGCAGGCAGCTGATTCTCCTCAGCTCTGCAATCCTCAGGGTTTTAAAGCGTGGTGTGTTGTGCAGGTGGATGTCCAGAATGAGATCACCTCAAAAAAATATAAAAATAAAAGACTCGCAGACTTGAAGATTTTGCCCCTAGATGCCTGCCTGTGTGTTGTTTGATCTAGGAAGGAGGGAGCCTCTGGGTGGGGAAACTACAATTTCCTACATATGTGAAATGTTTAAGCACTTCTTTTTTCTTTCTTTTGTCTTTTTTTTTTTTTTTTTTTTTTTTTTTTAAAGTCAGCCATCTTAATTAAATACCTGATTTTGAAGTCCATGTTCAGGCAGCTTTCCTGTTTATATCTAGCAGACTGCAGTTCCCATTCACAAAGACCCTTGTTATTTTCTGGCTTTCCTTGGATTTATTTGCAGGGCAGTGTTTTGTTTTCTCTGTAAGCCGTTTGGAATACATCTTCACTAGCACTGTAGCCGGAGGGTTTGTATGTCATTCAAAAATAAAAATAAAAAATCTCCACCTACTGAAAAGTGAACAGCATAGCCCTAGCAACCAGCTGGTGTGTTTGAACCAGGGGAAGGTACATTAAACAAGTAAGACCAAATAACATCTTCGTAACAGCCAGGGATGCAGTAGAAATGCCAGCTAGTGATAAGATTAATCGTAACTGATAGTGGAGATATATGGAGATTTGTATTTTATTTTTATTTTTTTAATGGTGGATTGTAAATACAGCCTTGATGAAGCAGTGCTTATTCTTGCTGTCATGAGCAAGGTACTCGGCTGGGAGCTCCAGAAGAGGGATCTGCTTCTGTTAAAACACCCACACACACACCTCATCTTGCACTGATTGTGTATGTGTGAAGGAATGAGGAAGGTAAGTCATAATTTTCTTGGGAAGCAAGGGAAAACTTATTTTAAATGATCTGTCAGACAGGGTACTATCAGTGCTTTCCTCCCAGGTGTGTTCTCAGTGGCGTTATGCCAGGGGTGGCTTTCGTGCGTCTGCTTCACTCTCTTGTGTATGCCTTGGTTTCTCATTCATCTGCTGTGTCATAGATCCATCTGTGTTAAAATTATGATTTTATTTTCTTTTTTTTTTTTTCTTTTGTGAATGAAAGGAATTTATACTGCTTGACATCATCTGAAATACTAGCTATTCCTTATTTTCCTAAAGAGCTCCACTGTGCTTCTTCAAGATGGATTTTTATTTGTGTTACCTGACTGTGGTTTTCCTTAGTTGCTGCTGACAAAAAAAAACTTGAAGCCTTGAGTTTTCTATTAGGTTTTATTTCTATTAGACCAAAACCATAAAAAGCAAAACAAAGAAAGGGACATGTCGGGAAAGGTCTGCTGTGTTAGTGGTCAGCCCAGGCTCCTCTCAAAGTTTGTGGAGTCAGAAGCAGTCTCGGTGCCCTTCAGCAGGCACAGGGATTAATCCGCTGGTATTTCAGTATTGTTCTCTTTCTTATAATCCACAAAGGCTGCTGATTTATGACTTCTGTCTAATAATTGCATTTCTTTGACTCCTGTTGCACCTCCCCTTCCCACCCCTTTCCTCCTGTGGTTTGGTGTCTTTTCTTGTTTCATGCAGTTTGGTTCTTTGGTCTGCTGGTGTATGAGATCTTTGATTTCCTCCCTGCCCATCCGTTCCCCGTATGCCGGTGATGGTGTGCAAAGAACAAAAGCGAATCTATGCCCGTACTGGGGAAGGATGCTTCCAATAGTATTGTTGTATCACAGCAGTTTTACTTCCTGACTGCTAGATGTGATGGATTCATTGTGCTGGGAAGGTGGCCAGAGCAGGATCTGCCTTTCCAGGCTAGTTTTCAATGACCGCTTTTAGGACCAAATAACTGGGGAAATGGGATTTTGTTGCATCATCTCCAGCTGTTCGGCTTGGGGGCTTTTTGTTCTTTTTATTTCACCTCTCCAAGTTTCTCAGCTGTAGGCTTGGTCAGGCTACTAACAGATGCACCATGAGTGGTGGAAGGGTTTTTGGAGATCAGTGTGTTTGTTCAGTCTTGCTTCACTAAATTGTGTCTTAAAATTTCTCACTGCTGCTCTTGGCAGCACAGCTCCTTTTGCAGTAGCAGTTGAGGAAACACTGTGCAGACTGACGTCTCTCCTTCCTTAGAGATAGGACCTAGTAACAGTGGGGGTAGATGCTGGAGAGCTCTGGATCCTGTTGGTATCACTGTCTGCCACTGCTGCTCCCTTCAGTAGAGCTGTCTTAAGGATTTTTGATAACCATGGGCAAAACCCTTGTTTAGGAAAAGCAAGGTGTGCTTTTTTTGGAAACATGAGAAGTGGTTGTGCCTGGATGAAGTGCAGGGATGGTGATTTTTTCTGTGCCTGTAAGGCATGGCTTTCTTGTGCAAATGTAAATTAGCAGTTCCTTGCCCCCAATTAATATCTCTCCTAGACAGAAGGTGAGGAACAAGGGGGGCACTCTGAATAAACATGATTAGGGAGCACACTGTTCCTTAGCACGTTTTTAGCCTGCAGCTTGGTTTTGACTAGATGGCCTGCTCAGTACTGTATTTAATGCTTGATCATGAGTTGTGCTGAGCTCAAATGATGGCTGAGGTGGGAAGGCACCTCTGACGGTCTCCAGCCTGCCCACTACCCAAAGCTAGGCTGCCCAGGGCATGCTGCGCCAGGCAGTCAGTCTGTGAGTAGCTACAAGGATGGAGACCCCAAAAGGGCAACTCTTTCAGCTGCTTGCTACCCTCGCAATAAAAAATATTTTTATTAAAAAAAAAATAATTTATGCTTAAGTGGAATTTCATCTGTCTTAATGGGTGTCCATTGCATCTTGTCACATCCCTGGGTGGCACTGAGAAGGGTCTGGCTCTGTTGTCTTTACTTACCCCATCAAGTGTTTAAGGACACTGAGAAGATTGTGGGCACTCCTGATTCCCAAACATTACTTGGGTGTTGCAGGTCTGTGGATGCTTTTCATCATCCGTCCTTTTAGACTTAGAGCTGTGAGGAGTCAGCATTTTGCCTGGGGCAGCAGCAGCCCTGGGGTTTCTCTGTGTGCTCTTTGCCTTCAGAGGGAAACACAACACAGGTGCCCATGTTTACTAGACTTCGGTAGGACCTGGTTATCCAAGCTGGGATATCCTAAAGGGGAAAGAACAAGGCTATCTTCAGAATTGTCCAAGTGAATGTGTTTGCAAAGGCTGAGTTTTCTGCTCAATTTGATTAGACATAGAGGCGCTGAACCAAGTATCTTGAAGGATCTTCATATTATGGTGGGTATTATACTGCTTGAAGTTTCCTATTTACATTGTGTTTAAATTCAGGGGCTTCGTTCTTGAAGGTTGGAAGTCTTCAGTTATGATGCTACTGCATTTTTTAAGATTTGCAACATCATAATTTACAAGTATTTTGACTTTTTAAAGTTCTCTTAGCTTTTCTGTCTCTGGCAACTAAATAATAAAGCAAGGTATTTGCCAAAATCGTAGTAGTCTTTGTGCTGTCCTTCAAAAGTTACCTTTGAGTTTGGACCTACTTTACGTAGTAAAAATGCTGATGTAGAAGCTGAAATGTTTGTTGTCATTTTAAGGATAACGTTTCAGCAAAGCTATCTGGCAATCTCCAGTAAGAGCTACTTCTCAAGTGGGTCAAACCAATAAGGTGACTTGTAGGAGGGAAAATTCAGTTTATAACATGAATTTTTGGTTTGGTTTGGTTTTTAGTAGACTCTTTTCCAGGACTTATGCCAAAGAAACTGTGAACAACTTTCTTAATTGCTTATGTCGGGGCAAATGTCAGCAGTGGTGCGGCCTAATACAAAAAACAAATGGCAGGGTATGCAAAAGGTTAAAGCGAGTTTTCCTTCCTGCTGTTTGTTTAGCTTTGTTCCCTAACTGTACTTATAGCAGAAGCAGTCTCATGTGTCCCAGATTAAAGCCATGGAACTCTAGGTTATTTCAGAGGCTTGTGTGTCCATTGTGATGGGGTGGAGGGATCGGGTACACCTCTGACCTCTGCAGCTTCACTTCAGCAAAGTACCTAAACATGTGCTTAACTTGTAGCCCATCGGGATTTCAGGTCTGCTAGTTGACCTGCTCAGGCAGCACATTGGGCAGGTTCGCTGTTCCAGGCTCTGCTGGAAGTACTCCTCTGGGCACCACTTCTGGCTTTCAAAAATTTGAGGATAATACCAGATTGTATTGTTACAGCGTGAATCTCTGCTAAACTCAGAGCAACATTGTCAGGGAGATAGTCTCTGAATGCATGTTATGTCCAGTGAGTCCTGGGCATTTGAGATATCCTGCCTGAAGGCAAATGATTGTGTGTCCAGGACTTCTGGATTGTCAGACATTGAGAATCTTGTGCAAATGGTCAGACTCCCTCTTTTCTATACCAGCAGATTCTTGGGGAGATAAAATACAGTGGATAGGCACATGGTTTATTGCTGAGTTCCCTTTTAGCAATAGAAGGCCTGTGTTTTCTACACAAGCTTCCCTGAAGTGCCATGTGGGAATTCTGAGGTGCTCTATGGGATGCTCCTTCAGTGGAAAGGACTGTAGGCAAGGCAGGCCATGGGCTGACCAACAATAGGAACTGAATCATCAGGTTGGGGCATTGATTCTTTGATGCCAGTTCATGCCTGGTGTTGAACACCTCCAAGTCTTGTGGTGAGCAGACAGCCTCAGTCTTTCTACTGATCCAGCAACAGTGGTGTCTGAATTCAGAGAACATGCAGTGAAATGAAACTCTCTTTTGCAGTTTGAATTGCAGACTTGAGGCTCTGGATCCACCTCACACTGTCGGTGTTTTATTGCTCCTTATGGTGTAGCTGGTGATCGTTCCTGAGAAGAGAGAAGATGATGAGTGATGCAAGTGACATGCTCGCTGCGGCTCTGGAGCAGATGGATGGCATTATAGCAGGTAAACACTTGGGGCAGCTTGTTCATTTAGCTGTTTCAGTAGTCCTTTTTCATACCTGGAGGGCAGAGTTTCAGGCTGATAAGGGAATGTGCTGGTAATTCTGTTTGGTGTCTTCCATTATAGTTTAGCAATTACAAATAAATGGACTGGGGGGATTACACAGACACGGATAAATGGATTGTAGTTTTTCTCCTAGCCTCTATCGAAATGCTGCTGAAAGTGGCTGAGTGATGCAGTTCAGCTGGTGCACACAGCACCATGAAAGCCAAGGTCAAGGCATGTTTCAAACCAGTTTGAGTGTGTTTAAAGAGCTGATGCAAGGCAGGAAGAGTAAGTTTGCCTGATACTGGCTACTCTGAACTTCTCTCAACTCTCCAGAGTTAAAATATTAGTTGAATTTTCCTTTTTTCAAAATTGGAATGCTCTGGGTCCAAACATTTGGGTTGGACCTGTCTTGAACATTTGAGTTTTTTCTAAGAACCTGTAAATTGTAAGTGGACGAAGGAGAAGCAAGACAGAGTAGACAACCCGTGCTTTTAAGCTGAGTCTAGTGAGTTAGAATATAAGTACACAACAGAGAGCAGCAAAGGATCAAGAAGTTAGTAGTTTAATCCTGTTCCAGCAGAGCTATGCAAACAGCTACACAAACTGACAAAATATTCTGCAAGGATAGCAACGCAGTTATAAAGTCATCACTAGTTCCACTTAAAATAATTTCCCTTAGGGAAAAAAATCATCATACAGTGCATGCTTTGTTTGAACAATGACTTTTCTCTGCACTTTTCCTAAAGATATTAAGGACACATAGCATGAACACATCTAAAGTGGATTCAGTTGGATCATAACAATCTCTAAAAATACATACAAGCTGTGACTTTAGTAATTTCCATAAGTAGATACTGGTATTTGGATCTGATTATGTATCTGCGTTTCCAAGAGCCTAAGTTGGTTATAGCAGGATGAAGTTTAATATAAAAAATAAAATGTGATGTTGAGATGTTTAAGTCACCACAGATTTCATTTGCCCATGTGTCTGAAGAGAGCTATAAAGTAATATAACAAAGGGATATCAACTCCTATGCTGTTTTGGGGATCTTTGTCTTTATGTTTTCCAAAGGGAATTAGCGGAATACTTGCATTTTTATGGCTTGCCAGATGAGATGAATGAAAGTTCATGGAAGTGCATATGTGGCATATTACTGTAGTTCCCAAAAGTTGACAATACAAATGAGAACACCCCTCATTGTGCTGAGGCATTACAGTGTTAAGGTCTCAAATAAGTGTGCTGAAATTATAGTTGGAATTAGGTTGATTTAAATCAGCCTTAATCCTGAATTCACAGTTTCCTTCCTTACTTAATATATAGCAACTTTTAATGTAGGTCAAATATATGTACTGTGAGTTTATGCAAATCAGAGATTTTTCTCTTTATTAACATTCAGATGTCAGTGCTACCATGTCAAACTGTTGGGTTTAAAATTTATTCTCGTGTAGAAATGATTTGGTCTTTTTATTTATCTTAATATTTTCCCTTATTCTTTTAAAACATTTCCAGTGCCTTGAAGCAGCATAAGATATTCCCACTTGAAAAATGCAGAGCACACCTTCCCCTGGACACCATCACTGTCTGACCTGGGCCACGCAAATCCTTCGGGGTGGCTCCAAGCATGAGCAGAGCCTGTTCCCCCCACAGGACTCTCCACCTCCGATACATCCTGGGGAGCAGGAGCCCAGCCCACGCCTTGACCCTGTGGGCGCAGTTGCGGTGTAGGCGTCCTCTGTCAGACCAGCCCACCTCCTTCCCGCTGGAGCCGCCGTCCACGTGGCGCACCAGCAAGGGCTTGCCCTTCTCCAAATCGCCGCGTGGTGCGGGCAGAATCCAGCACCAGTGCTGAGTTTGGTTCAGATAAATTCCCGCCGGGAGCAAGCGTTGCCTAGCACTTCTCAGCCTCGCTGTGTGTCGCACCAGCTTGCCTTGTGCCTGACCCCGTGCGATTTTGCTCCCTCCAGGTTCGAAGGCGCTGGAATACTCCAACGGCATCTTTGACTGCCAGTCCCCCACCTCCCCCTTCATGGGGGGCCTGCGGGCACTGCACCTGGTGGAGGACTTGCGGGGCTTGCTGGAGATGATGGAAGCAGACGAGAGAGAGGGGCTGCGCTGCCAGATCCCGGACTCGACGGCGGAGACTCTGATCGAATGGCTCCAAAGTCAAATGGTACGGTCTCGCCTTGTTTCACCTGTAACAATGCTCCTTTTGTGTGTTAGCTAGACCGGCTCAGGCAGCGAGGCTGTGTTTTATGCGGTCGTTAAAAAGTTTTAGAGTAGGTTTCAAAGAACCAAAGGGAAGAGATTTTTGGTTTGGAGATGCTGCTATGGGGCCTGGGAAAAGCTGTTGCTCAAATACCTTGTGCACTGGCTTGGCCTGTGCTTTCTCTGTATACCACAGTGTCTCAATCTATGGAGCAGATAATTTTCAGTAACTGGAGTTTCATCTTAGATGGTTGGGGAAAGATATTTTCATAAGAATCAGATGCTTAAATGGGAAGAAAAAAGTAGTTTTTAATATGAACTTTTCACTAAAAAGCATTTTTGGCAGCATATTTTCTACAAGGACGAGTGCTGTTATTGAGCTTCCTTACCTGGTTTATAACTGAAGTGAGTGCTCAGCATCCCTTTTTTCGTCTGGATACCAAACCAAATTTTTATTTTCTGTGTTTGTGAATCTGCCAGTTTTTGTCACCTTGCCTTAAAAATACACCAAAATATACCCAACAAGGCTGTTCTCTCTCCCCAAGCCTTGGTTTTCCCCAAAAATCAAGTATTATTTGAGTGGAGGCTACCTGAAGACTACCCTGGGAAATAAAATGTGCTTATCAGCACGTGAGTTACATGGCATCATTTCTGAAGGATCCACTGGTTTTGTCTCCAGGTGCCTTGTGAGTGGTGACTTCGTAGCAGGGCCGAAGCTGAGTCCTTGTTCACATGGTCTGTGGCAGGGTTTGCGTTGTGGTGGTCTGGGTGTGCACAGGTTCTGGGGAAGCTCCAGCAGTGGAAGTCAAGACTTATTTCTAGAGGCCATGCTTCAGTTTTTAAGTCAGTGGGCAGCTGTTACGACAGCAGTGGGCATGCGCTTCTGCATGTTTTGCCAAATGTGTCTTGCAGCAGTGTCTGCGTCCTGTAGTCTCACTTGGTGTTTGGCCAAGGTAACACCGTGCTGCTGAAATGGGGATGCCAGATCTGGTGAAGGCTGGGTCCGATGCCGGGCAGGCCACCGTGGTGGCTCTGTGTTGCACCCTATGTGTCGCTGCCATTGAGACAGGCAGCCACTGTCGCCTGGTCCCTTCCCAGGACAGGCATCACACCCCCTCTGAAAGAGTTCAGTCACCCTGGAGCCACAGCTGATCTTGCAAAAGAAGTTTTTATCTCAATAGATGGATTTATTCCAGTGCTCTGATGCGGCCCAGAGTGGCAGGTGTGTGTGTGCCCACCCGGGGCTGGCCCGGCGTGGAGCTGCGGCTGGCGCTGGGTGACCTGACCTGCCGCCTAGGGACAGGCAGAGACAGGGACAGACCTGGGCTAGCACAGCAGGGCTCGCTTCTGTACGCAGCTCTTCCAGAAAGGTTTGAGCGGAGAGCATTTTTTTTTTTTTTCCCCTTTGCTTTGAACTACTCATTTGAAAATGTCTGAAACTTAATGAAGCACGTGGGAGCTTTCCCACTGCCTCCAGTGGGATTTGGATCTCGCCTCCGCTGTTGAAGTGTGGCAGCCAATGCTGAGATCAGGAGGAGGAGACGGGAGTGACATTCGAGTCATATCTTTAAAATGTGCAGAGTTCCTGCTAACATCAGCGTTTCCTTCCTGCCTAACGTACAGCAGTGAATATTGCTATAACAAATCTCTACTCTGTGTGGAGCAGAAGTCAAGGGACATAATGGGCTTCATGCCAGTATGGCCTTTATAAATAAAAAAGTGTTCATATGCCAAATAAACAGCCTTGGAAAATTATCTGCTCTCTGTGGCATGCATAGACATAAGTAGTCCATGCTTAGGGATGCTGATCCACCACATGTTCTGGAGTAAAGGGGCCCAGCAGCATGGCTGGAGGCTACAGTGCCTGTTGAGATTAACGAGGTGAAGGCCAGTCATTGCCCCGTGAGATGACAAATGTGTGATTTAGGCATGCCTGGCTGTTAGGATCTGGAATGAGGTCCTTCAGACCTGCGCCATGTAGATCACTGCACAGCAATGAGACAGTGATGGTTTTTGTTGCAGCCATGGGCTGAATCTGGGAGAGGAAGGGCCCTGTTACGCTTTTCGGTTTAGTGCCTCCTGAGCACTGGAAAATATCTGCAGGGGTTGTGTGTACAAAAGATTGCAGAAAATAGCTATTCCCACTATGCTTCTCTTCAGTCTGCCTCAAATTATTCCTCTGCTCTCTAGCATCCTTAAAGCCACCAGTAGAAAAGACTGAATGCTTCCACTTTGTACTGTGCTACAAGCATGTCATTTGCAGGTGTCACTGGTGTTTCTGGCCACTGCCTGAGCAGGAGGGTGTTATGTGAAGTGCCCAGATGTTTTGCAGGAAGTCTTTTTGCAACTATGTCCATCCTTACCAAGGAAGGGAAGACACTTCCTTGGTTTGAAATCAGTTTAATTCTCCACACATGAAGAAGTTGCCTACCTGAAGAAGTTGCCACTTGATTTGCCTCCATGAAGAAGCTGCTATTCCAAGCTACTGGAACTGCTGCGTGATGTCCCATCCGAAGCCGTAAGCGAGTTTCTGGTGTCTCAGAGGAAAACAAAAATAGTGTTCACTGCTGCCAAACAGTGTGTCACAAGAGAAAAATCCTCTCCTGGCCCCTGCAGGGAAACCAGTGATGCCCTAGTTGGGAAAAGGGTCCAAAAGCAGACTCCCAGAGTTGCTCGCTTCTGTAATGTGGGGCAGAGCATTCAGTTTTGCCATGCCAGAACTGGCTGCCCTACGTCTCTGTACTGCTTCTTAGTATTGCTTGCTTTCTGTTCCTCACAGTGTGTAAGAGAACACTTATTCAAGCACTCAAAAAGGGCCGATGAGTTAAAACACCTCAAATGGATTTTTTTTTTTAAGCAGTGGATGCCAGATGGCCACGTGACACCAGAGCTCATGTACAGTGCCCAGACATCTGGCAGGGCTCTTCCAAGAGAATACATCAGGTGGTCCCCATGGGGAGCTCAGAGAAGTTGTACATGCAGCTTTCTGCTGTACAAATAAGACAGACTGTAACATATCATTTCTAATTGTCTGTCTACAGCTCAAAACTGATTGTTTTGCTGAAACCCTGCTCATGTCTCCATATGCAGGTGGAGAGCAGGTGAACGTCACAGTTACAAATTGCAAACGAAGCCATTTGTTCAAAGTCTGGAAAGGGACTCGGGCCTTTTCGAAGCTCAGACATGTTGGGTCTGTGTGCTTTCACTGGGGGCCAGCCCTGAAATCCATAGCCAGATCATAACTATTCCAGAGTTTTGGAGTTCTTTCAGATTTCTGCTGATCAACAGAAATGTTTAATGTGTTCTGATGTGTGCTTTTGTGCTCTGCTCTGTGAAAATGGAGGTTCTGACTTGAATATAGACAGTGTGTGAGTAATCTGTAACATTATCACCTGTCACAAGACCATTTTAAATGAAACTCTGCCTTTTGCAAGACCAAGGCAGCCCCATTGTGTCCAGCTGGAAGTTGATAGATCCATCTCTTGAAGAATAATTCTCAGAAACCTTCTTCCCAGTCATGGGTGTTGCTCCAGTTTTTCTTCAGTTGAAACAAACAAGAGACAGTTTTCTTTCTGGTTATTATTTTTCTTGACAGTGTTTTTTTGGTGTTTTTTTAAAAATACCTCTTATGCAACAACCTCCCAGAAAGAAGAAACCAACTGTGTCTTGTTAAAAAGGAGGGTGAAGGGTAGAAGTGGGTGGACAGTCCCTTCCCACACCTCAGAGACAGCTTCCCCAAGCTCCTGATCTGAACTTACATGTGTGGGTCCTGTTGTACACTTTCTCCTACTTAAAGGATGTGCTACTGGAACAAAAGAGCCGAGATAATACTATTTCATTAAAGTCCATAGCCACTGCACCTGTGGTTTTAGCTTTGTAAGTGACTTTCTGAAGTTGAATATATATATTATAATTTTTTTTTTTTTTTTCACTCCAGAAGTGAATTTCTGAAGTTGACTGTAAGATCATTAAATCAAAACAAACTTTCTGGCCTCCAGAGGTTTCTTCAAGAACATTTTCAGCTCATCTGAAGATGATAGTTAATTTGAGCTGTGGTACCCATAGTGGCTTGTGCAATCTAGAGTGTTGCTGCTGTCAACAGCAGATCTGTCATCTCACAGACCAGCCTCACATTTTGACACTTCTTCAACAAGTTGGTTCTTCCAGAGAGTGGCTGGGAGTAATGAGGGTTAATATGAGGAGATACTAGATTTCAGAGAGAAGTTTTCCTCTCTGGATAAACATAGCTTGTAATCTTACAGAGATATTTTGGCCTATTTGGATGACAGGGTGGTTCCCAAGTGGGGGAAATAGTTTTGTTAGCCAAAAATCATCTCATATTTCTTATTCATGGAAAAATCTTGTCTTCAAACCGAAGTTTGTTGTTTGATTGTCTTAGTGTGGGCGTACAGTGCATTCATTTGGCTCAGTTTCTGCTTATGTTGAGTTTAGCTGTTGAAAAGACCTATGGTAATGTGTGGCACATAGGTGTTTACCACCAAACACCTGTTTGAAATCCCTCCTCAAGCTGCAATATGAAAGGAGCCTTGTGATACCATTTCAGCCTGTCATTATAAACTGCCTCCCATCAATACTTTCTGTCCCTGAGAGATCTACCTCTCAAAGTTCTTGAGACACAGGACCTTGCTTCTTGCTAAAGATGATCATCCAGACTGGTGTGATTGTAACACTGGAAGATAATATGGGCTCATTTATAACACGTCTTGGTATGGCATCTTCATGCGTTGTGGATGAGTTCATCACCAGTAAGAACAACCCATGCGACCCTGCACTGAAGTGTAGGGCAGCCCTGATGGCAGAGCTGTCGAAAATCACCATTCCCAATCCAAAATGCATCAGTCTGGCTTAAAAAACACAGCTTCTTCTCCTCTTCTGCTATGCTTTTTTGTTCTGGGTTATTCGGTATTCATGTGTTTGAGATTTTTATCTATCAATGGTAGTTGT